CAATGTCAAACTTTAGCGCCTACAAGTCCACTCAGTCCTACTTCTTGTTCAGCCAATCGCTCAGACAAACAAGTTTGTTTACATTTGCAGGAGATAATGCTGCCCGCTTCTTGTTTACAATGTCACCTGAAAGTGAGAACAGGCATTCGCATGGCACTTTTGTAGCCAACATCGCAAGATATTTACGTGCCAGATGCGCTCAAGATTCATAGGTCCCTTCATGCTTCAACCAGCCTTCCCGAGGACACGCGTCCATGCTGATGATGGGTTCTGTTTGATAACAATCCAAAGCAGTACGAACGACGCATGTTCATTTCCATCATTTGAGTCAGATGCCACCAGCAGAAGGTTGATTTTCTTTTTGGGGGTTCAGTTCTGTAGTTTCCGCATCAGAGGGTTGCTCTTTTAAGACTTCTGAAAGCATGTTCCACACCTCGTCCCTCTCAGATTTGGAAGGCACTTCAGATTCTTAAACCTTTGGTCGAGTGGTGTAGCTATCTTTAGAAATCTCACATTGGTGCCTTCTTTGTGTTTTGTCACATATGAAGTGAAAGTGTTCTTAAAACGAACAACATGTGCTGGGTCATCATCCAAGATTGCTTTAACATGAAATATATGGCAGAATGCGGGGAAAACAGAACAGGAGACATACAGTTCTCCCTCAGTTCTCAGTCACGAATTTAATTAATGCATTTATTTTTTTTAACGAGCATCATCAGCATGGACGCGTGTCCTCTGGAAGGCTGAAGCATGAAGGGACGTATGAATCTTTAGCGCATCTGGCAGGTAAATATCTTGCGACGCCGGCTACAAAAGTGCCGTGTGAACACCTGATCTCACTTTCAGGTGACATTGTAAATAAGAAGCAGGCAGCATTGTCTCCTGCAAATGTAACCAGCTTGTTTGTCTGAGCGATTGGCTGAACAAGAAGTAGGACTGAGTGGACTTGTAAACAATCTACATTTGTAAGTTGCACTTTCACAATAAAGAAATTGCCCTACAGTACTGGTATGAGGTGAACCGAAAAATATGATTTCTTTGTTTATCATTTTTACTGTGCAAATATTTGTAATACAAATAATATAAAGTGAGCCCTGTACACTTCGTATTCTGTGTTGAAATCAACGTATTTGAAAACGTAGAAAAATGTCAAATGTATTAAATTTCAATTGGTATTAAATGATTTAACAGTGCGATTAAAAGCGTGATGAATTTTTTGAGTTAATCGTGTGAGTTAACTGCGATTAATCGACAGCCCTAACTGGAATATCCATATTGTACTTGCGTTTCCGTGTGTAGTCGATAGAGCAGAATAAACAAGTCCTCGTATGAAATTTTAGTTTGGACAGACTTTGCTAGTGCTCTTTATGTAGCCTGCTGTAAAACCAGGTAAATTCCTGGATGAGCTGGTGTACTCCCGGGGAGACGTGTGCACCCCCGAGGGGTACGCATGCCCCGACTTGAGAACCACTAGAGAAGGCAGGACCCCAAGTGAAGGGCCCTAGGGGAGGGTGGGACTCAGTACGGGCGCTGCTGACATCTCTCCCTGGCCCAGGTCTCTCCTCAGAGCTGCGGGCCCTGCTGGCTGCCATGCTGGACCCCGATCCCCGGCTCCGGCCCTCGGCGGAGGCGCTGCTCAACTCCAGCATCATGCGCAAGATGGAGAAGTGGCGCAAGCTGACGCTGCTGCTGCAGGACGGACTCCTGAGAGCTGCCTCCTTGTGCCAGGTGAGTCCTGGGAGCGGGGAGCACGTCAGCCCTGAGCTGCAGCCCCCAGCTCTGCCGGTGCCCC